ATAAATAAGCTGCACCCTATAACACACATCCTTTGGCAACTTGTATTTTACTTAACATTGTTTTTAAGATAGATGCCGATTCGTGCGGCTCCAGTTCATTCATTTTGACTCTTGTACGATTGCATCCATCACAGATCTATTGACATGCTCTCCTGTGGGCAGGCATTTCGGGTTATTAGTTTTGTTTTATTTTTTCAATTTTTTTTTGTTATTGCAAACAATGCATCAGTGAGATTTCCTATCTCCTGGTTGTGCGCTGTATGAGAATTTCTCTAGGGCTCCATTTCTCAAAGTGTGGCTTGAGATCCCCTGGTGAAGAATGAGATCATTCTGGTAGCTTTGTGGTCAGTGCTACCTTTTTTTTGTGTGTGTGGGCAAAAGAGAAGATAAAATATTAGACTGCATCGTATAATAAGAGGATATGTATTGCCTCATAAAACTTTTGTTTCAATTATAGATAAGTGTATGCCAGATGGCAATATGGAATATATTTCTTACTGGCAGCCGCAGCCAAGATTTAAAAGAAAAAGTCTAGAGATCAGTTCTCTAAGGCCCCTGCTGAACAAAGTGAGGTCACAGTAGCAGCAATCTTACCTGGGAGTTGGTTACAGAGGCAGAGTCTCCATTCCATCCCAGACCTGCTGAATCTGCATCTGCAGTTTAATCAGATCCCGAGATTCTTCACCTGCCCATTAAAGATTAAGCAGCAGTTCTCTAGAGACATACCAAAGACTAGAATTTCATGCCATAGAAGGTGTCCTTGTTTCTTTCACTTGGGTCGGTTGTCACCAAAAATGCTCTCCACCCTGGTTATACCAAAGAGTTCCTGTTTCAGTGAGCTTTTCTTCACTGTGACCAACACGCCTGACAAGAACCACGTAGACAAGGAAAAGTTTATTTTGGCTCGTGGTTTCAAAAGTCCAGGCCATGGTCAGCCGACTCCATCGCTCTGGGCCCAAGGCGAGGCGGGACATCATGGTGGAGGATATAAACCCCAGTGGTCTACTTCCTTCAGCCACACCCTACCTGTCTACAGTTACCACTCAGTTAATCCAGATCAGTGGATTAATCCACTGAGTAGGTCACGCCTTTCATAATCTAATCATTTCACCCCTGAAAGTTCTCGTCTGGTCTCACACCTGAGCTTTGGGGGCACACCACATACCCAAACCATAACAATTCCTTTAAAAATCTGCTTTCCATGTTAAAGTTTGGAGCAAGGTGTCATTAGATCCAGGCATTCTGCAGCTACAAAGTTGGGGAGGGGGGTGCTTTTTAAATCATAGTCCCTCTTTGCTGCTTTCCTGTGACTCTGTCCTTCTCCATCTCTCTCGAGTAACCAAGGCCCTTCGGACACTGTGCTTCTCACGAGGCCCTGGCTCGACATTAGCAGAGCCATCTCCTTGGGCTTCCTCTCTCCACGCCGGCTCTCCCTTGTCCTGGGGTTTCTAGGCCTGGCCTCTGACTCACAACCCCACATCCACTTCCTTATGCAGGTCGACATAATAATCTCTCTCTCTGCTGGAAGCCACTGCTTACTGGGTCTATGACAGACCCACAGCTGTGCTAGGGACACTCCATACCACAGAGAGACCCTGTTGTCCCCATTTTATGGCTGAGATCATCAGTCCAAGCTGCAGTCTGTCACTGATGACATGTGGGTGGGTCTTGGTGATCCAGAAGGCAGGAGCGATGTCACAGACAGGCCACCTCGGCTCTTTTCCTTGTGACCACCTGGTCGTTGAGAGGATCCCTCACCAGGGACTTGGGAGGGTCACAGGAAAATTCAGTTTCAAGAAAATCTCCTGGATACCTGCTCTGGAGAAGCATCAGATGAATCAACCAGCACAAAGCTCAAGGACTACAACACAGTATTCTAAATCTTTATTGAAATAACAAATGGATTCCTAGAATCTCTGCAGGCTCTCAAGAGAAAATAGACTCATAAAGATATCAAAGCAATTACACAGGGGAGAGGGCATTTCATTCACTCCATAGGAAAAGTCTTGCCAAGTAGAAGGAACATTAGATGCAAAGGGATTTTTCAGACCCAACGACCTCATGACGTGGGGGGGTGGGGGGGGGGGGCGGATGCCACCCTGCTCTGCACATAGATGAGCTTCGGGGTGACATTTCTTGTCCAAAGTCCCATATCTAACAAGTAGCTGCCCAGAAGCAGAACCCAGACTTCAACTCCTGCCTAGTTCCAACAAATGGATCATGACTTATTGATACAGGAAATGCCCCAGCACTTCAGAGACCCCATGAGGATATGCTCTCCTCAGAGTGGACACCCGGGGTGGCCTGCTTCTTGGATTCCTGTTCCCGTTCAGCAGCCCCTGGGATCTTACATCCCCTTGGAAGCCATGGCTGATGACTGGTTCGTGGGCATAACACCCATTTCTTTGTCCTCCCTCACCCATGATCATTTTTTTTTTTTGTAAACGGTTTATAATTTTTTTTGAGAGAGAGAGAGAGAGAGAGAATTTTAATATTTATTTTTTAGTTTTTGGCGGACACAACATCTTTTGTTGGTATGTGGTGCTGAGGATCGAACCCGGGCCGCACGCATGCCAGGCGAGCGCGCTACCGCTTGAGCCACATCCCCAGCCAGACATTTCTTGATAAATAAACAAGTTGCACACAGCTCTTCACCCCTATTCTGCTTGCTGCTGGGAGAACCCAGGGTAACACACCTACCCAACACCCATTTCGCTTCTAGCAACAGAACCCAGGTTTTCTTTTGGGGAAACTGTCTTCTCTCGCCCTTAGCCTCTGTGCTTTGGTTACAGCTGATGACCTCGCCTCCCCAGCTTGATGGAAGGACACACCTCCAGACCTGGCCAATCAATGTGTTTCTTCTATCCATGACCCTGATGATTGGATGAAGGACGAGGGCATGATCCTGGTTGGTCCAATTGGGACCCAAACTCCTGACTCTTGCTCTATAGAGAAAAAGAAAGTCCTGTTGCCCTGGGTGTGTGGGGAGTCTCTGCATCGTGAGCTGGGACCATCACTCCAGCGGGACAGAGGCTTCCTGGGAGTGAAGCCCCCATGAATGAGCGCAGAGCTGAGAGAGCATGGAGAGGGACCAGGTGACCACCTCATATAAGCACCTAGATCCAGTTGTACCTGACCTTCAAGTCTGCCTTGAAGGTTGATCCATTCCTTGACTCTTGGAGAGTTTTGCTCCCCACATGCCCTCATCTTACAAGGACACTGTGAACTGGAAGCCATTATTATCCCCCATTCCATAGACGAAGACATGGGGCTCAGAGAGGTGAAGCCGTTTGTTCAGATCCCTCAGGGGCTTTAACCAAAATCAGGCCCTGGAGAAGAGAGGCTCAGAGTGGGACTGTGCCTTCTTCCCACTCCTTCATGCCTACAGTATACAGCACAAAAACAGTGAGCAGTACATGCCTGCTGAATACATGGGTAAATGAATGCCCAAATGAAGGTTGAAAGGAAAATCAAACAGTACTTTCCAACTTTCAATATTTTTAGGGGGTGGAAGATGGTCAAAACTGATCAAGATGGGCACAGTGGTAATCCCAGTGACTCGACCCCAGAGACTGAGGCTTGGATCACAAGTCCAAGCCCAGCCTCAGCAACTGAATGAGACCCTCAGCAACTTAGCAAGACCGGGTCTCAAAGACTGAAAAGAACTGGAGGTGTACCTCAGGGATAGAGCACCCAAGTTCAATCCCCAGTACTGCCAAGAAAAGAAAAGAAAAAAAAAGATTGATGAGAAATCATCCTTCCAGTCTCAAATTTCCACAAAGCTCTAAGATTGGGAACACTGGGGTATCTTGTTCTGGAAGCCAAGAAAATTAATTTAGATCTCACTGTGCCTCTTATTTCTAGAGCATTCCATCTAATGATACAAAACCAAAGACCTTGGAATTAGATCCAAGGTCAAATCCTTAGTTGATTATTTGTGAGCTACATGACCTTGAAGCAGTCACTTGGCTTCTCTGGGACTTTTTTCTCATCCACAAAAAATAAATAAATAAAAAGACAATTTACAGATGCACCTGCCAGGTGGGATAGACGCACATAGTGGGTCCTCATCAAACCAGCTCCCGTCAGCCCATCTCTGTGTTGTCCTATAACTCAGATTTCCTCACATTTAAGACACAGATGACAATAACCCTTCTGGTGTGAAGCGAACTGAATCGTTCTAGAAGTCCTTTCGCCTGGTAGCCACCAGCCAGCTGCTTCCCTGGGGCCCTGGGAGCTTAAATGGGACATTGCGTCGGAAAATGCTTAGAGGGCCTTGGAAGAAAAGGGGCGAGAGAATCCAGCCGGTTATTATTAGACATGGAAAGGGGAGCGCCAGAGCCCACACACGCCTCTCGTATAATCAAACTGACATTGAGGTTTACAGTGCATTCAACACTGCGTTCCAGTCCAGGGAGCTAAAAATGGAAACCTGTGAAAACAGCGGCTGGGTTAAAACCGGAGCAGCAGTGGTGTGTGCTCAGCCGACTCCCAGGGCCAGAGAGCAGAAAGGATGCCTCCCGGGCCTTCACCACCCAAGCTAGGGCAGCACAGGGCCTGGGGCAGGCCAGGACACCGCCCCACCTGCCAGACTCCCACGTGGGCCTCAGTCCTGCAGCCTTCACGGCTCTGGCAAACAGCCATCCAGAGGACCCCCAGGCCCTGGGCAAGTTATTTCACTATACGGGGGCCTCGGTTGCCCTACCTGGAAGATGAAGACCCTATAAGGTTTGTTGTAAGGACCTAGTGAGTTCAGACTAATTGAGGACTCCTTCTCCAAAATGCTAGAGGCCAGAAGTATTTCCAATTTGGGATTTGGGAATACTGGCATATACATAATGAGACTGAGGATGGGATACAGACGTGAAAATGCACAATTCACTTACACACAGGGCCTGACAGTAATTTTGAATGATGGTTTCCGTGCACCCAGCAACCCATCACCGGAGGCCGGCTGTGGAATTTTCCATTTGTGATGTCATGAGGGCACTTGACTTTTTTTTTTTTTTTATTTTGGACTTGGGGATGAGGGATGTTCGAGGTACACGTGAAAGGGTTTGCCATAGATGGCTTATGTTGCCGAGGATCTGCTTAGCCTCCCTCCCAGCCTGCCCTCTGCTGCCCCAACCCCCCCCCAGCCACCCTCTCCCCAGTATCCCTAAATCTCACTAATTTCTTCCTAATCTATCCATCCTGTCAGCCTACATTCCAAATCCTTTGTCTGATTACCTACACATGTGCTGGGAGATTCGTGGATTGATTTATTGGGCACCTACTATGTGCCAGGCACTGTCTGAGGTGTGAGGCTATCATCGTGAACAAAATAGACAAAAATCCTTGCCTTTGTGGGACTTCCATTGTAGGACATAATGACCATGTAGATTTTCTGATTATATTACCATAACTACATAACAATGAATGTTTTTAAAATTTGTCTTTGTACCTCCTAAAATCAGATCCTGGACTAGGAGAATCCTAGTTGCTGCTTCAGATATGCAGACCTTGCCCACTGCTCCAGGGCAGGAAGACCCCCACTCCCTCCCCCTGGAGCACCCAGCTAGCTAGTCACTCTCCTAAAGCTCAAAGATTTTCTTAAATAAAATGTGGCTGCCTGGAGTTGAAAAACCAGGCCACCCATCTCTCACATTTTTTCCCCCCACAGAGTCTGTCCTCAGGTCCAGGATGACTGGGCACCTCAGATGACATTTCTTCAGCCTGATCAACTCGGTCTGCATCTTCCCTGCAGAAGGTAAGATGCTGTTTCTGTGTCTGACCTCAGATGGAGCTGCCCTTGGGGAGCCAAGGGCAGATGTTCTAAATGAACAGCACCCACCTGCCGGAGGAGAATCGGGGATGTCTTGGCCTTTCTAACTCAGGGCCCACACAGCCCCCGGGGAAAGGAGTCCACAGTGAGCTTGCAGCATCTGCAGCAGGAAGCCAAGGATGCAGAGCACGTCAAAATAAATGGGCCTCAAACCTCTCCCAGGGACATTCCTGTCCTCCCACCCAGCCTCATGGAAGGCGTGCAGTGGCCGGGGAGTCAAAAGATCTGCTCTATCAAGGGCAGTGGCCACTGACCACAGGAGAGGCATTTACCACCCTGAACCTCATTCTTCTCTGTAAAAAGGAGATCAAAATAAAATCCCTTCAGAGGTTTCCCTGAAAGGAAAGGAAAGAGGGGTCACACAGGTATTGTGTAATCGTCATTTACTGTGTCCCCCAACCTCTCTGTGCCTCACTTTCTTCATCTGGAACATGGGCTTAAGCAGAACTTTCCTCTCAGATCGGCTGTGAAATAAATAAATAAATAAGGTCAGATGGCTGCATCTGCACCTGACCTGAGGGGTTCTTGGGAGAGGAAATCCCCACCAATCTAGAAGGAGGAGGCCACTCCAGAATTCCATAAGTTGACGCAGTATCTGTAAAATTCCGACTGGCTAATTAGCTCAAAACATGTGGCTGATGCTCAGGCCGATCTCAAATCCATGAGCTCAGAATCTGGGAATTCCTAGATGGTTCTACTGAGCAGCTGAGGCTGAGAACCACCCCCTGGAGGGGGTTAAAACCCCTCTACACCAAAGTCCTCAGCGCTGCCTGGAGTCTAGAGCCACTCAGGGGAGCTTTTAAAAACTCCCTACCCCAGAGTAATCAAAGCAGAAATTCTGATTACAGCATCCAGCACCCCAGCTTGGACCTAAATATAGGCAAGGTTGAGGACTCCCCACCCGCCTCAACTCTAGAACAAATCAGGGTCCATGTGAGGGAACAGAATCTTGAATATATACTCCATGAGTCTAGAGGGCCAGTTGCTTAAACAGAATTGTTAGAAGGATTATGGGAAAGAAAGCAGCTCTAAACCAGAAGCTCAATGAATGGCGGGCGAATCTATGTTCATTTAATCCGCCCCAAATGTCGCTAAGATCCCAGACCCTGGGGCCCACTGAGGTTCCAGTCCCAGGCCTGCTGCTCGCTGAGTGTGTGGACTAGACAAGGCAGCTCACCTCTCTGCCTCAGTCAGCACGGATGATGGGGATGATCATTTCTGCCCCGCAGGGTTGTTATGAGGATGAAAGGACAGAAGGGGGCGACACTGAGTAAGAGCCAAATCACTGAATAAGGCCTATGATCCGCATCACCCAGGACTGAAACCATTTTACACAGGAGAAAAATGAGGCTTCAGCAAGGTTGATGGAGTTCACCCAGCTACTAAGGGTTGGGGCCAGCAGCAGTCAGTCACCTTTTCACAATGTTCACAGCCTACCTGGGGGCCTTCTTCCCTTACCCCGGTCCTCTGCCTACCCCTGGGCTCTTCCCATGGTTCTCGCAATTTCCATTCCTGAGTCTTGTGGCCACAGCAGACATACAATCCTAACCATGAAACAAGTTCTAAGCCAAAGATAAGGACAAAAGCAAGGTCCAGCCGGAGATGGTGGCACATGCCTGTCATCCTAGTGGCTTGGGAGCCTGAAGCAGGAGGATCACAAGGTCAAAGCCAGCCTCAGCAAAAGCGAGGCCCTAAGCAATTCAGTGAGAACTGTCTCTAAATAAAATACGAAATAGGGCTGGGGATGGAGCTCAGTGGTCGAGTGCCCCCTGAGTTCAATCCCCAATATCCACCCAAAAAGCAAGGTCCATGCACCCAGGTGAGCTTTCCAGGTGGGTCTCAAGCCACCTTCCCCTTCTCCAAAGAGAATCCAGGTACTGAAGACCTGACAGCAACCTCTGGGCTTCAGACCTATTATTATTCATTTAATCCCCACGGCAAATTAGGAGGCAGGTACTGTAATCATGCCCAATTCAGAGCTTAGGAAACAGACTCAAGAGGAATTAGAACTCTTCCCAAGGAACTAGGAGGTCTGGGTGCCCAGAGGCCACCAAAGATCAGTGCTCAGTGGACAGGAAGGCAAGGGAGCTTGTCAAAAGAGGCACCAGGGTTGTCTGTTTGGAATTTTTTGTATGTTTTATTTTGCTTTGTATTTTTGTTTTGTTTTATTCTGTTTTTGCTTTTGGTTCCTAGCTCCATAAAGAAAGCCCAGAGCCCAGAGGAAAAGGACAGAAGCAATTTTCAACACAACATAAAGCAGAGCTTTCCAACCTTCAAAAGAAAGGCAGCCTTCGCCATTAAGTAGCATGTAGGAATTATTAAAAGCAGCTAGCCCCGGGGAGGTGGTGACAGAGGGGTGGGTGGGACAGCCCCAAAGAGCCTACTTAAAACCTCTACATGCCCTGAGCTCTGAGAAGATTATATAATTCAATGTTTTAAAAAAAAAATCAATCCAAAACATAAGGAAGGAATGCCAACAAATGCTTTCTTTGAAATATCCAATTCTTTCCACCCATAAGAAAAATGAGGGGAGAAGGGAGGGGGGATTTCCTGTTTCTCCTTGTCTGACTCTTACACAAGGAACAGGCACTACAATTTTATAAATAATAAATAGGATTTATTTTAAATGATTTGGAGGGATACTCATGATGTCATGACCAGTGCAAAAATGACCTAACATGGCCTTTTAACCTTTGCCCTTTTTACATTTATTTTTATGTGCCAAAACTTGATAGGAGATGGTGTTATAGATGGTTTTTATTATCTCCTTCCTACTTTTTTTTTCCTGCAACTCACATGAGTCAGCTATAGAATAAGAAAAAAAATAAAGGTGTTCTTGAAAAGAAGCTGATCTTTGCTGAAGTTTGAGCTTCAAGGCTAGAAAAAATTCAAGCAGAGGCAGGAAATGGGGACCAGGGGGGTGTCAGTTTTGGAGAAGATGTCAGAGACGTGAACTCAAAGAATCCTGGATACAGGATGCTCTGATTGGGTGTGTCCCTTTGAATTTATTTGTTGGAGACATTCCTCAAAATCATGTTCATAGTATTTGGAGGTGAGGCCTTTGGAAGGTAACTGGGATTAGATAAGGTCATAAGGGTGGGGCCCCCCAAAATGAAATTAGTGGCTTTATAAAAGGAAGAGAGCTTAGCTCACATGCTGGTCTGTCCCACCATGTTATGATGCAGCAAGCAGGACCTCACCAGGTGTCAGCACCTTGCACTTGAACTTTCCAGCCTCCAGAACTGTAAGCCAAATAAACTTCCATTCTTTATAAAGTACCCAGACTCAGGTATTTTGCTTTAGCAACAGAAGACAGACCAAGACACAGATTCTGAGGTTTACGAAACCTGAGTAGCCAAGCCACCCATGGGTAGACTGGTCAAAAACAAGGATGACAGGAGGGGGAATCTAGAACAATGAAAAAGATTGTTTCCTATGATTTCATAAAAGTGGAGGTTGTCAGCCTGAGAACTCTGAGAAGGGCAGCATTGGAAAATTTGATGGTTTCTTCCTTGAAAGTATCAGTGAAGCTTGACAAAGAGAAAAAAAATCCCCCGACACCAAGTCCTGCCCAGTGTTTCTCAATCTTGGTTGCACTTTAGAATCAACTGGAGAGCTCTTAAAAAAAGCATTAATGCCCTGACCCCACCCTAGCCAATGAAGTCACACTCTCTGGGTATGGAGCTTAGGCATTCGCATTTTTTTTTCTTTACTGAATAGACTTAATTTTTAAGAACAGATTTAGATTCACAGCAAAATGGAGTAAACTCTACAGAGTCCCATGTATGTGCCCCTACACATGCACAGCCTCCCCTGCTTTCAAATATCCTGCAACAGAGAAATAGCTTAAATCGATGAACTAACTCCAACACATACATCATCATAGTCTAAGTCCATTCTTGGTGCGGTACACTCTGTGGTATTAACAAATGCATGATAACGTGGACCCCTCCATTGTAGAATCATAACAGGACAGTTTCCCTATCCTAAAGAATCTTCTGTGGGCACCAGTAGTTTTTGAACATCTCAGGGAACTCTAAGAGATAGCCAAGTGGGAGACCCACCACCCACCACTCTAACCCACAAGAAGAGAGTTTGTTATCAGCATTCCACATGGAAGAGCACTTAGCCTTGGGAGAAAAATGAAGAAGAAGTGAGTTTTAAAAGAGAGAGGGGAACAAAGAAAGATCCTAGAGATAGAAAAGCTGTGTTGTTAAAAACTAGGGAAAGGGAGAATTTTGAAAAGAAGATGGAGCCTTGCACAGGAGTGAAGGAAGTTAAGACCTGAGGACAAGAAGAATGGAGAACTGTATTCACAAGATGTGCGGTGGCCCTGGCAAGAGCAGATTCGATAGCACATGGGGGCAGGATGAGATACAGAGGCAAAGGCTTGGGTGAGAATCGAGTGGGCCATGGAATGGAAGCAGCAAATATCTGTCAAAGAAGAATGGAATAATGTGGCCCAAAAAGAGGAGGAAGTTCAAGGAAAGTCTTTTCTTTTCAACAGTATTGGGCATATGAACCAGAGGGTAGGCAAAGAAAGGATCTGTGAAGAGCAGAGATCCAAGATGCTGGAGAGAGAGGCGTATTCTTGGCACAAGACTTGGACCATCAGAGATGAGACAAAGAACAGGAGTGACTTCACTTGTAGGAGAAACCCTCCCACCTCCAAGGTTGCAATGATGGAAGAAGTGGCAGTGAGGACGTGTTTCAAGGCAGAGATGTCACCTGAAGGAATCCAGAGGTGGTGGCGCCAATCTCTGAAGCCCAGTGGAAGCCAAGTTCATCTGCTGGGACCTGAGAAGGAAGACTGGACGGGAGCTAGGGCCTGGGGGCTGGAGCAAGGTTGCAAAAGAAAGGACTCTTGGGAGGACGTTGACAGCCTGAGTACCATGCCTGGAACTGAACACGGACTAGTTAATTTCATGGTTAGTTACTTGGTTGGTTAGTTCGTCAGTTGCTTTCCCATCTCATCCTCCCCAGTCTTTCATGCATGCATCACAGGATCACCTCCTAGATAAACTCCCAACACTCCAATCCTTGTCTCAGGCCCTACTCGGGTGTGGACCCAAAGACACTTGCTACTCACTCCCTATAAGCTCCATGAGGGATGCGCTGGACTCCAGGTCACCCTGCGCAGGTCCTCCTTCAGGAATGAGTGACTCACTCTTCCAGCTGCTAAGCTTGCTGCCCTGGGCTCTCGTTCCCCCACAAAACAGCTGCAGCTGTTTTGCCCAAGGTCATTCCCAAGGCTGCCCATGTTGAATCACTTGTTGGCCTGGTTCCTCACCACCAAACTGGGACTAGTCCTCAAAGATCACCCAGTTTCAAAACTCCCTGGAGAGTTGGCCGGGCCCTCCATGCAC